GGCCAACACCAAGAAGATGTTTATCGGCTTGGTGACCGACTCTGTGTTGAACTCCAAGCAGGCTATGGAGCTGATGAGATGCACCAACCGGTACGATGGCATCGTCCAGGCCATGATGGTGCGTAGCGCAGTGTTGGAGAAACCAGAAAACTGCGAGCGACGATGCCGCTGCCACAACTATCGACCCAGATGCCATCGGCGCCATCACCTGTGATCAATCGCCTGATTAGACCCGTTAGGTATGCATCCGCGTATCCCAGCCTGCCAGCGCCTTCTGCTGCTCCAGAGCCCGAAAACCACGCGACACGTGGTCGGCCACTGTTTCGAGCAAGGACCCTAAACTTTCGGGTAAAGAGGTTGCCGAAAAGGTGCGCCGAGAGATTACCCTAACGCTGGGAGTTCAACATTATACGCTCCCCCTCGCCAGGAGAAATTAAGCGGGTCGTTGCCAGCAGGAAGTTCAGCAAAATTGGTCTCGAGGTCAAGCCCTACACTGCGCAGCGGCCTAACCTGATCGTCCAGGAAGTCGCCACGCAGATCCTATCAGAGGAGTTTATGGCGTTGTTATATGCCAACAATCTGAAGGAGCACATACCCGAGGCTGAGTTCCGAAAGGCGGTCCATTTGGACAGAAAACCTTGGACGGTTGCCGACGGAGCCACAGTAAACGTGACTTTAGAGTGTGAGCCAAAGGTGCTAGATCTGCTCGAAGGTGGGAGGATAAACGTTAAGTGGTTTTCCAACCGGTGCAGGGAACAGGTACGAACAGGTGCGTTGGCTTCAAGCACAAGGTGGCAGAATGTAAAAAGAAGAGAACTACTGCACGCAATGCGGACAGACCGGTCACAGTGCGCGAGGCTACCAAATCCAGTGTACTGCCGGAATTGTCGATTTTACGGTTACAGCATGCTGTCCCCGAGCTATCCGGTGTACGCGACGGAATGCGAATATATGTACATCGACCGGAGAGGAAAGGCAGTTATCCTCGTGGATCGTCAGCATGTCATGTGCATGCCAATGGAGCCCCTCACCACCGACTATAGCGTATGCGTGAGCGCCAAAAGGATTTTTGGCTCAATCTTCCTTTAATCCGTGTACTGCCAGTACGAGACGAGTTAGAGCCGTACCTCAGGTACATGGATACGGTCCTGTTGCAGGCTAACAAAACCCCCGTAATCCTGGGACTCGACACGAACGCAGTGTCCTCCATGTGGCTTAGCAAACTTCCTCGGAATTCAAAGTACAGACGTGGAGAATGGAACCGTTGCCCTTAACCAGCCTAGCCTGGTGTTCACGTTCGATACCCACTACACACGTAGTGATATCGACGTGACAATTGCCAACGATGCAGCATCGATGTGGGCCACATTCCAGTGGAGGGTGGACGAGTGGGAGTTGTGTGATCATAACATGATCAAAGTTGTGGGAACACCACCTACCCCAAATACTGTTGAGAGCTTAGCTCCTGGAACATCTCCAATGCTCGCTGGCAGTTCGAACGGATAAATCATAAAGTGATACTGACATCGCTCCTTCGGATTTCCACTTGTTCCGATCAATGACGCATGGCCTCGCTGAACAGCCCTTTCGATCATACGAAGAGGTCAATAATTGGCTAGATCAATGGATCGCGTCCAGAGATGAACACTTTTTTCTACGTGGGATTCACATGCTGCCGGAAAGATGGGAAAAAGTTGTGGCTAGCGATGGAAAATATTTTGAATAACTGGTCCGTAAACTGGTTGTAAAAATGAATAAATCTCTTTAATTTTTGTTTTCCAGTAATCTTTATTAATATCTACTAAATATAAAAGGAACTAATATTTAAATAATAAGTTGCTTATATATACATATATATATATATATATTTTTTTTTTAAAGTCAATGTATCTACTTTTGCACGTTTTGGCTTTTTTTTAGTTTTTATTAAAATTTTAATATTTGGTCCAAAAACCCTTTGCTTTAATTACCATTTTAATACGTTTGGGCATACTCTCGACCAATTTCTGCAACATTTCATTAGGAATACTTTTCCATTTCGCTTGTATCCTGGCCCAAAGTTCATCAAATCCTTTTGGTGGACTTTCTTTAGCAGAGCCCATAGATTTTCAATGGGATTATAGTATGGGGTATATGGTATTAAGTATTGGTTCGTTTCATGACGGAAGAATAAAGGAATGACTTTCTGAAGGGAAAATATAAAAAAAAAGCTTGGGCGTGAACTAATAATGACCGGCTGTTTAGTCAGCGGCGGCGTTGATCGTGATGGTCTTGCCCTTGGGATCGTCAAAGCGGTCCATCGTGTTGATGTCCATCATCCAGCAGACACCAATGAACATGATGACCAGCAGCAGAGCGACGACCAGAAGACCCATAAGGATACCGGGCGATACGAATCCAACACAGAATAGGAACCGTCGAACGGAGCCTGCAGCTGCAGGGACTTGAAGCTCAGCGAGTTGTAACGACCATTGGTGGCAGCAGACTCCAGAGTGAGGTTACCGCAGTCGTAGGAGAACGTGGTGGGGGCGTTTACAATGCCGGTAACGCGGAAAGCTTCACCACCATACTTTACATTGCTCAAACTAAAGTATCCACCGCTATTAGAAACATCAAAGACGAGTGACTTGGTAGCAGACGATAATGTGACGGTGAACTTGGAGCTGGTATCGTACTGGACTGAAATGCCGGTAATGGTGACGGGATCCGCGTTGTAAAGAAGGGCAGTGTAAAAGATGAAAAATTGGTCTGTGGACCTAAAGTAGGTTCCTCCAGTAGTAGCGGCCGTGTCACGCCGTGCGCGACGCTGAACAACCGGGGCGGTGGACGGTGCGGCCAGATACAGATAAGCCACCTTGCACTCAAACTGCTTGCTGACTCCAAGGTGGCCTCGCGACTCTCCTTCAAATTCTCGAAGCTGACGAATAGGGCTTTGCCGGCGGCGCACTTGGCTGGGTTCTCCAATTTTCCGCTGGCATGAATGCTGTTTTGCTCCCGCTTGGCGGCGACCGAACGCAGGGCTCGGTGGGATTCTCCACGGTGCACAGTGGTCGATTCGGCATTAAATTAATAACTTCTGAAATATTAGAGATATCTTCAATCGGTTTTTTATTTTCGGTTTGTTACTCAATTTTGCATTATGTGGACAAAAATGAAATTTGTAGTGTTTTTTTAAAATTTTTTTTTTTATATTTAAAAAAAAACTTTTAGTACATTTTTTGTATTCTAAAGAAAAAGAGTAAGAAATAGAATTATAACTTATATTATGCAAGAAGCAAATAAGAAACATATACATTATATACAAAAATTTTATATACATTATACACAAAAAAATTAAAATTCTGTGAACAGACGATGGCATGTCAAACCAAGGGTATTTATTAACAAAAATTTCGGCAGTTTCCATAGCGTACGATCCGAACGCATTAGTGTTTAAGTAATGTCCACAGGACAATGCTCGCAGGACAATGCTAAATCGGAATATTAAAATTTGATTACTCTTTTTATGCGCGCAGCTAAATTTGGAAAAAATCTTCGTGCAGTGTTTCCATTGTTAGTACTTTCAGTACCGGCCGTACTTCCAGTTGTTATAATATCCCCGGTAAGCTCCTCGTCAGCTTTCAGCTTCGACACAATTCTTGATGTATTTCCGTCCTTATACAAGCGGCTACTTGCAGCCAACAACAATGCATCCGTCGAGACTTTCTCCGAAATGCCTGATAGTTTGTTGATTTGAGTTGATCTGCATCACTCTGAAATACTTTTCTCTGGGCGTCCAACATTTCTAAATGATGATCTTTCCATCAACACCTGAGGCGTGTCTAGCCATTCTTTCCTCCTTTTTTCAAAAGCTGCCTTATTTATATAATTTAATTGCAAAATTTAATTGCAATAATTTTGCAAAACTCCTTTTCGTTACAATCATATTTGATTGTAACGGCTTCGCCGTGCCACACTAAGAAAAGTGCGCGCTTCGACACTGACACGCAGGACTACGCACTTCATTTTTGACATTTCGGACAGATATTAATTTAGACTTTAACAAACAATTGCAACCAGAGTGAATTCAGGTGAATTTGTTAAGTTCTACTTCACGAAAGACTGGTGTGCGCTTTATTCCGCACATTGTTAATACACTCCAAATCCACTACAATTTATAAGTAACACATATACTGACACGTCACAAGCACAGATTTTCTATGTAGCACATACCTTAGTAGTTGTTAAAAACCAAACTTGCACTAGAACAATCGTAAATTGCACTATTTATTCAAATATGCAACCAATAAGTAAAAGGGCGCCAAAATTGTAAATATCAACTGCTGAAACATATGTTGACTTTGACAGTTCACAGCTGATCATCAGCTTATTGATGAGCTTAGAAAACATCAATTAGCATCTAATCAGGTGTATACTATGGATAGGTAAACTTAAATTAACTTTTATTTAAATTTGAAAATCATAATTAAATGCCGCTAGCCAGGCCAAATCGACCTCTGTGCGCTGGTGTAGTAGGTCGGACAGGTAGTCCTTGCTGCTCAAGCCATTTTCCTCGAAGGCCACGACCATGTGATCTTCCAGCAACGTAGCCAACTGCTCAGCGAACTCCGCCTGGGGCACTGTCTTCAGCGAGGGCTTCGCCACACTGTTGGCACCCCACAGAAAGACGGGCGTTTGCTCCGCCAAGGCTGCTCCAATGACGCACAGGGCAATCAGCGACTTCCACAACATTTCGGTAGAATCGCTGCAACGACGCACGAAAAGTGAACTGAAACTACAAACGAAAAATGGTGGTGAATAATAAATATTATTTTATATATTTTAATTTTAATTATTTATTTATTAGATATTTTAGATATTTTATTTATTTTAATATATACTTGTATTTTAATTTATAATAAATATTAAAAAATATTTCATGTTTTATTATTTTAATAAACCTATATCAAAAAGATTTTCATCATTGTTAATACCGTAATCATTAAATTATTGTATTTCAGGTTTGTGCAGAGGAGAAATGCCAAGAAGAGGTGGTGTTACTGGCTTTAAGTTTTTTGGATAGATTTCTTTCAACAAAATCAGTGCGAAAGGCTCATCTTCAAATATTAGCTGCAGCCTGCCTTTTACTTGCTTCAAAACTTCGAGAACCAAGTTGCCGTGCTCTCTCAGTGGACTTGTTGGTTATTTATACGGATAATAGCATATTCAAAGATGATTTGATTGTAAGTAATTTTTATCGAATATTTTAAAATTTTAATAAATCTATTGTAAGTTTTACGGAAGTTTCTAGTGATTGATATTAACAAATTATTCTACCCCATGGTCCCTATATTTGTACCCGGTACCAAAAATTATACAGTGTATAGATGGGACATCAGGGCCCAAACCGGAAAACGTTTTCCCGTGCAGTGAACGTATATGCATACGATTCTAATTGTAGAATTATTTTAGAATTTTATAACACATCTAGTGAGGGCTTTGGATGTGACTCACTGCACGCGCGACTTCGTAAGAATGTTTTGGAAATTGAAAAATTCAATTTCTGACGATTTCAGCATCTGCAGAATGAGCAGGAGGACAATAGGGGTCGTATTTATCACTTAACAATAAGCATTAAGGTTTTGAGTGTAGAGATGCTAACTTTATAAGTTCTTGTCGAAGGTTGAAATGCAGGTTCAAACCCTATGCGGGTGACGGAAACCTTTTATTTTTTTTATATTTTTGGATTAACAATTTTTATACCCTTGCAGAGGATATTATAATTTTGGTCAAAAGTGTGCAACGCAGTGAAGAAGACATCTCCGACCCTATAAATAGATATATATTCGTGATCCTCCGCACGGTGTTTGGCAGCAACTTCCGATCCTGGCTCGCTAGCGTGTATGCGCGGTGTTCCCAGGTGCAGTAGGGGTGTGACAACCACCGGGAACTTACGATCCTGGCTCGCTAGCACATATGCGTGGTATTCCCAGGTCTAGTGGGGCAGTGACAACCACCGACCACTCCAGATCCTGCCTCGCTAGCCCGTATGCGCGGTGATTCTAGGTGTAGCGGAGGTGGCAGTCAGCAGCTAACTCCCTATCCATACTTGCTAGCGCGAATGCGCCTGGTGTAGCGGAGGCGACAGTACGCGACCAAATTCCAATCCAGACCCGCTAGCGCGTATGCGCGGTGGATCCCTGGAGTAGTGGAGGTGCGAAAGTCCGCGGCCAACTCCCAATCCAGGCTAGCTAGCGCGTATCCGCGGTGTTTCCCTGGTGTAGCTGAGCGGAAGAGCGTTGCCCAGTCTTCAACCAGTCGCAGATGACCCAAGGGTGTGGGTAGGAAGGCAGGGAAGGAAGGGTGTGTGGCCAGCAATTTAAGGGAAATTTACGGCAACGCAGCAAGAGGAAAAGCAGTGGCAACGAAGCAACGGCAGCGACCATTGCTGACTGGTCTGTTTGTTCTATATCGCTGTTGGTAATAGTATTTATCTGAATTGGGGATAATGGATCGGCTACAAAATTTGTTGTACCGGGCTTATATATTATTTTATTTTTCTTAAAATTTATGACGGATGAATCATCGTCGGCGCGTTTGGAATTTTTTTATCCCAAACTTTTTATTCTTTTGTTGACGAATAATTCTACGTCGGCTTGATCAGGATTTGTAGATCCCAAGCTTAATAAACTTTTTTCAACCATAACAGATTCTAGTTGGATTTCGTTTGCTCATGATACAATTATACAAGGTAGTCCATTCGTAGAATTATAGTCCCTTAATATAAGTTAGTAGTCCATTCGTAGAATTATAGTCCCTTAATATAAGTTAGTAGTCCATTCGTAGAATTATAGTCCCTTAATATAAGTTAAACTTAGTAAGCGTTGAATAGTGTGAGTGAAAAGACTATACAGTACTTCGATTAAACCGTACACGGGGCATGGGGCTAATCGTTTTTCTTAGTTCTGACAAGAGTTGTAGTGTTATTTATTTTAAGTAGTTTACAATTCGACATAATTCTTTGATTTTGTTTTTGGACAGCCATTATCTTGTTTAAGTTCTTAATTCTAAAGTATATACGCATCTTAAAATACAATTTTTTTATGTTTACATTAATATCGACCTTCTCAGCGGCGTTTAATAATGTCTGTTTTAAATTTTTAGTTTAAAAAAACTAAAAAAAAAAAACAAACTTTACGCCTAGCACGTGCTTGCGACAAGAACTGCAAAAAGTCATTTTTTTGCTTGGTCACTTAAAGGTTAAAGTTTTGAAAAAAAATATTACCTTTCAGTTTGACAAGTAGGCACCACTGAAATTAGGGGAGCAAAACCCAAACGATTTGTCAGCCAAATGGACTACCTTGTATTCTGTATCATGGTTTTGCTCATCAAAGTATTTTTATACCCTTGCAGAGGGTATTATAATTTTGGTGTGTGCTAAAGGTAAGTTACTGCCATGCAGTGAAGGAGACATCTCCGATCCTATAAAGTATATATATTCCTGATCGGGATCACCTCCTGAGTTTATATAAGTATGTCTGTCTGTCTGTTTCTACGAAAACTAGTCTCTCAGTTTTAAAGCTATCGTCTTGAAACTTTGTCTGCATAGTCTTCGTCAAGCCATTCGAGGTCTTCGCATCCTTCGTATGACTGAACTACTAGGCATTCTCCCTTTCACCGTCCAGCCACACGGTAAAGGGGTTACTTTGATTTTTTATCGAAGGTTACAGCTACATTTTTGTGAATTATTGCGTGCCGAGTAGCTGATTTTTGTGATACAAAATACAACCCACACGTTTTGCATATGCGCTTTTGAAGTTGGCTTTGTACCGAGGGACAATTCGTGTCGTAGGGAATCTGAAGTAAAAGAGGGGAATGTGATATTAGCACATTTAATATATAAAATTTATGTAAAGCTTCCTGCAAATATTTGTTGTGTTTATTTATTGATATCACGAGAGCTCTGCGTTGTAATAGGTCCCGAAAATTGCCCTTCTCATTGCTCTCGGAAACCATTATTTCAGAGACACCCAGAACAACACGTATAGGAGGAGGGAAAAATCTATCAGGTAGAATTTGCAGTAATCCACTTCTAAATTCTCCACAACATTCTTCAGAACGGCATTTCACAATTTGAAGAAAGTACTGACACTCACGAACATGTTCTTGATACCAGTACTGATTTTTTTTATCCAGTTCTACCTCTTCTTCGTTAGGTAGACAATATCTGGCAGTCACAGGAAAGTCATCGAGAACCATGTTGCCCCAAACTTTGGCCAATGTTCTCCCAGCGAATTCAAAATTTTTTTTCCTCTAAGTCGAAGTCTGTGGTTCTGCCTTGGTTATCCAAATGGCTTCCAAACATGTCGTCCGGCAAAATCATCCCAGACAATTCCCGGCTTAGTGGGGCCTCCTCCTTTCGACTCGGTTAAATGCACTTCTTCCTGAAATAAAAATGGATTTTACAATATAATTTAGCTATTACTTAGTTAAAAATTTTACCTGGATTTGTGGCAACAAAAATTGCATCCAAATTGTATGTTGTACAATTTAAAATGTTGTTTAAATACAACCTTCCCTTAACTGGGATTTTCATCAGGGCTACCATCGGAAGTTATAATCACCACAGGCTTAACTAGTCCTTCATCGGTCCTTGCTATTGATTTAAAAGACAATTCACAATACTGTCGAAATCTGTAGCATGAGTTCCAGCAGTTGATGAAGAATGCTTTCCACTTCTTAGCCTTATAAATGTGGGCCAGAATAACCAACACCTTTCGGGTCTCTTATTTTTTAATTATAATTACCTTATAACAACCCCCGCAAAAACTTATGGAATTAGCTTGTGCCTTGGGGCAACAACCCAATCGTGATCTGGCAGCTTGGCCTTGTATTCAAGATGCATAAGCAGCGGTTCTTGCTTATTTGCAGCAGTCAAACCAATTGGCACCCTAGCTTTGTCGTCTTGTGACAAAAAAAAAACACTTGAGCAGGGCCGAGAACAGAGGCAAAATAAAGATTTTCAATATATTTTATAGATGCTGTAACAAAATATCCATCTATATGTTGCTTGTGATAATCTGCTTGGGCTCGACTAAGCTTTACCGGTACCGTTCTCACATGACTTTTTCTATCAATCGATTAAGAGCTTCTGGGCAATAGTCTTAGATAGGTTGCGCTTCTCGACAAGATAAACCCTTCTTTTTTAAGCTCTTCATGGAGATCAGACAAGGTTTTCACACTTCTAACAAGTTTAGTGCGCCTTTCATCAGCTCGACTTCCAAACATGGCTATCTCCAAAATAGTTTTATGGAGAAGCGGTTGATCGTCTTCGACCTGCCGGCTGTAGATCGTTGGTTACAAAGACCTTTGGCTTTAGGAATTTTCTCAAATAGGCAACTCAATTGTTATACCCTTGCAGAGGGTATTTTAATTTTGTCCAAAAGTGTGCAACGCAGTGAAGGAGACATCTCCGACCCTATAAAGTATATATATTCTTGATCAGGATCACCTCCTGAGTTGATATGAGCATGTCCGTCTGTCTCATTCTACGCAAACTAGTCTTTCAGTTTTAAAGCTATCGTCTTGAAACTTTGCACATACCCTTCTTTCCTTTGCACGCAGTATATAAGTCAAAACGACCGGGATCGGCCGACTATATCCTATAGCTGCCATATAACTGATTGATCGGAATTGGTATAACTGCGGTGTTTTTAGAGTTAGAGAGTTTATTTAACATGAAAGCTATTTTTGGCAAAACATTAAAACAAAACATCAAAAACATGACATGCCAAATTTCATAAGGATCGGCTGACTATGTCCTTTAGCTGCCATATAACTGAACGATCGGAAATGACCCAACTTTCGTGTTTTTGAAGATAGAAAGCTGGAACTTGGTACAGATTATATTTTTGGTCAGTTAATCCGACCTACCAAATTTCATAACGATCGGCCGACTATATCTTACAGCTGCCAAATAACTGAACGATCGGAAATGTTTTTTGGTGGAAATACCAACTTTGGTATTTTTGAAGATAGAAGTTTGGGACTTGTTTTTAGATTTTATATTATAATAAATTGGCCAACTATATCCGATGTTTGCCATATATATCCGGTTTTAACTGCTAGGGTATATCAACTTCGGCTCCGCCCGAAGTTAGCTTTCCAATCTTGTTTTATTACATATTTTATGTATGTTTGAAAATCTTTTTATTCTTTTTTTTTGCTGATTTCCATATTGCCG